GGCTAGCATTGGGGCAAGGAAAACAGTGATAGAGAGGGCAGGACGCCATCGGTATCTAGATAACACACAGCGGCATGACCTCATGCTCAAGGCTACACGGTTGGTTGGGGTCAGGCTGAAACACAAGACGAGGATAGGGTCACCGAACACCTGGGGCAGGTGAAGAGCCACTACTCGTTCTTCCTGTGGTTCTGTTCCTGTTGCTGTTGCTATTGTTGTAACTGTCTTGTTGTTGTTGCGGTCTGCACATTGGAAAAACACTTCCGACCTTCGCATGGTGCCTCGACTTCCTGCCTCTCTACGACCAATAAAGAAAACTTGCTCGAATTTTCCGTAGCCGCACAACCCCCCCACGAAACGCCCCCCCGCAAATCGCGCACACCACGAACCAAGAAAAAAACGGCGGCAAGTGGCCATCGTCACTTGGTCACCTTCTGACACTATCACCGGTTGCCCGAGGTTAGTCGCAGTCAGCACCGCCTTCGACTCCGGAATCAGAATCAACCTCAGCACCTCCAGCCCCAAGAGCTCCTGGATGTTCGCCAGTGTGAGCATTTCGTTGCTCTCAGCCCGGGCGGGGTCTGCGGGGGGGGGCGGGAGGGGCAGCACGGAGGTGTATGTGTTTGTTGGGAGGGGGCACGCGGCGAACCGTAACAAACAACAATAACAACAAGAAGGGTAACATGACCCCCCCGGAACATACACCACCACAGCCACAACAAAGATATCAACAGCAGCTGCAGCAACAACAACAGCAACAACATGAAACCCCTTCAATCACCACCATCACCACCGCCACAAACACGATATCATCATCATCAGCAATAACAGCAACACAAATCCCTTCAGCAAAACACTACAACCACAGCGACAACAGCAACAGAAACAAACATCACCACCAACATCACCTGCCGCAACAAAAACCAACAACAACAACAAACAAAGGGCAACGGTTCGTCGCTTACCGTATCTGGTGACGAGCAACGTTTGCCGCACCGGCGCCTGCCCTGTCTCCGCCTTCCTAGACTTGCTGGCGATGAACCTCACCATCTTGTCGCTATCCCTGCACGGGGACACCTCTGGGTTGGTGACGATCACGGCCTCGTCTGCCAAGTACATGGCGTGCCGCGCCCCTGTGACCGCCGTCGAAAAACAAACGCGATTATATGATGGACACGTGTTGGGTCCAACATTGGGGTGATTGTTGGGTGTCTACATGTGCATGTGTATTGTCGACGACGAACAGCAACATTCCCATGGAGAGAGACATACCCCGGGGGCCACCACGGTTGCTGGATGAAAGTGTGACTGTGTGTGCATGTGTGTTGTCGTCCACAAACAGAAACATGTTTATCGTCGTCCAAAGGCAGGCATTCCATTGGAGAGAGAGCCCCGAGTCCTACACATTTCTGTAGGCTCATTGTTCGATGCACGTGTGCATGTGCATTATCGTCGACAAGCAGAAACAGTCCCATCAAGAGGAACCCCAGAAATGTATTGTATCCCTGCCGGGAGCGGCCGCCGTTCTGCTCCGCTCCGCACCGTGGTGAACAAATGGCCATGCCAGCATGGCTTCAGATAGAAAGCACATCGTGAAACAAACGGTCCTACCAATGCGATTTCAGATATGCGAACACTTCCGAACGCATGCGCCCCCTTTCCGTGGTGAAATAATGGTCATACCAGCAGTGTGACTTCAGATAGGCAAACACTTCCGAACGCATGCACCCCCTAGGTGAAATTTATGGCCACAACAGCAGTGCGACTTCAGAGAAGCAAACACTGCCGAACGCACGCTCGGGGACCCCTACGTGAAATATGGTCATACCAGTAGCGTGACTTCAGACAAGCATGTACTTCCGCAGGCATGCGCGGGGCCCCGTTTGACTGGCCTGACTCGATCCCCGCCGCGGGGCTGTCACACACGACGAAGTCGACGCTCTTCTGCAGCTCCCGTATGACTCGCGTGACCCCGTCCTGTGTCAATGCCTCCTTGTCCTTGGTCTGAGACGCCGCCAGCAGACTGAGCCCGGGATTCCGTCCGTCCTGTATAAGGGCCTGGTTCAGTGTGCACTGCTATTGTTGAAGAGGGAGAGCGGGGGATCCAAGAGGAGACCAAATAGTGACGACAACATATTGCATGATACGGAAGGCGGGACTACTCAATATCCTCTTGTGCTGCCTGCCGGAGGCTCGTGACTTGTTTCCTCTTCGGAGATAGTTTCACCCAAAAAGACTTACCATTTAGTACATGGTTCTAAAACTGAGCGCCTGTTCTTATGCTCAAGATTCTAGAGCATGCCGAGAACGGTGAAGCTCTCGACCCAGGCGTCGTCAAGGACACATGTAACCAACCAGAGGTGTCTGTTGAGATCACAGAGGGCTGACCACAGTACGGCAGCGAAACTAGTAAGCGGTGGGCGCGAGATAGGGAGAGGCGCCCAAGCTTCACCGCACTGATAGCGACAGAGCCGTGTCTCACACTACAGTACACTACAGCTGGAGGGAAGGTCTCCTGAGCCTGTCTGTCTCGTTCACTGCTTCGTTCCGTGTCAACGCAACATCATCCACAACATCATCATCAACATCATCCACAACATCATCATCAACATCATCCACAACATCATTATCAACATCATCCACAACATCATCATCAACATCATCCACAACATCATCATCAACATCATCCACAACAACAGCGACGGCAACAACGACAACGGCAGCAGCAACAGCAGCAAACAGCGACAGCCTCAACAACAGCAACATCAACAACAACAACATCAACAACAGCAACAACCTCAACAACAACAACCTCGGTAGAGCATCGCAATTCATGGCCCCTCGCCAAGTTCCATCGATTTCCGCGCCCGGTAGCGTTCGCCACAACTGGACGGTCATGTGTGACCATGCGCGCTGTTTTTCTCTGGTCTTCACTATTTCGCCGTGTGCCTATTTCCATCGCTCTTTTGGTCTTGAAGAGACTGATGTGGAAAAAATCGAATCTCAGGGTCCGCTTGGCAGTAAACAACAGACTGACCTCGACCTACGGCGCACGTCTTGCTATATCTTGAGAATGCCATTGTAGGGTATCGCGCGTTATGGGTCCTCGCCGATTTTGGTCACTCTTCGCGCGCGGTAACATGCATCACAAGTGTGCGACCATGTGCGACCATCCATGCGTTTCTCCTGTTCGCGGTCTTCCCGTCTACTTCCGCTATCTAGCATCTTTCTTTCAAAACTCAACAAATCCATCTCATCCACAGACAAAAGTCCGGGTAAGAGTAGAAAACTCATATGTTGCATTTGCTCTTCGTCTCAATGAACCATTTCACAATGTCGGCAAAAATGCAAGAATCGAATCTCAACGTCCGCTTGTGAGCAATCAACGGTAAGATGTTCAGTGCAGGTGGTGTGGGACACCAAGAATCTTGATGTGGACTAGTTCTGAAAGAAACCACAAGAGCAACAGAAAATGCACAAGAGATACACAAGATCAGTCAGAACGTATCGCGAAATACAGAAAGGGTTGGTTCTCGCGCAGGGCGGCAATAGAGGCTGCTGCTGTAAATATACATTTCATGCATCTACTTCCATGCGCCTCCTTTGAAACTACGATGACAATTCACACCAGTCTAAATTATTTAAAAAGCCAAAACGCCAGGCGCTCAAACAAGGTCGGTTCTGCACTAGGTTCCATGCATTCTACCGATATCACAAGAGGATGCCCTAAGCAGCCGTGTGTGTGTGTGTGTGTGTGTGTTAGAGCGCTGAAATCTGCTTCTTGGGGGCGATAATGAAGGTCGTAGTAGCGGCCTACAGTCTCCGCAAATTACACCGACACCCTGCGTCGTACTGCTTGTGCTCGCCGCCACTGACCCCAATCGCCTGAACCGCGGACTGCAGTAGCTGATGCCACTAGCTACTGACGATCCTCCGTTCAGGGGTTTATGGTCCGTGGCAGTGAGCACGGCTGTGAAAAGTGTGTGGTTCCGGCAAGTTTCGGCGCAGACTTGGGACTGCTTTCAGAAGCTGCTGCGACCTTCAACATTTCAGCTCCAGTAGCAAACCTGTGCCAGCACATATTTAGGACGCCTCTCCATGGTGTCATCTACTGACAACAGTAGAATGCATAGAACCAAAACGGCGGGAAGTTACTTTCCTTAGCTGTATTGGATTCACCTCCTGAAAGAGAGCCAGCGTGAAAATAGCTTGTTCTTCAATGTCTTACGGTTTTAAGAATGGAGTTAACAAAGATGGAATTGGACCGAGGCGTTCGTGCTAGAGTGGAGTATGATATCGACCTGTGCCGTCTGGCGGGTTCAATTGTCAAGTTTCCCACGGCTTAACTGTGTAACGAACGTTGTAAAGGTCTTGTCACATTAATGTAGAGCCTGCCATATCATTCACAGCGGCAATAGAGGATGGCATGATGCCGTGAGTGTCGATTTACTTTGAAAAGCTACCGTAGAGATCGAATTTGAAGCATTACGTCGCTTTGGAGGGTGCCTTGAAGGAAAAGTAGGGCACAGAACAAGGGTGTGCGAAAAAAACATTTTTGCAACGTAGGTACTTATTTGGGAAGATTTTCTTTGGGGGGGAGGGTATGAAGTGACCATCCCCCACCCGCAAAACGCCATGATATATCCAGTTTAAAACCGTACCATACTAAATTCATATATGTAGGGGACTACAGTTAATCTGCGTGCCCCCTGGCCTTGTGCGCCAGCGCTCCAGCACGGGCGCTAGCCGCATGCACGCTGTGTGTTGCGTACCAGCTACGCAAGAGCAAGAGCATGATCAGCGCACGCTCAGGGGGGTGCGTAGGCCTAGCCCAGACGCCTTTCCGGCAACAGGATCGGCTCAAGCGACTGTGTACTCTCGCGCCGAAGACGGACTCGCGAATTTTGCCGTTGGAATAGGCCTGAAGGCGGCGGGTAATAGCTCCGCCGCCACACCATGCACCAACGTGCCGCTGAACCCTCCAGGTACAGTCGACCTCGCTTGAAGTACGCTCGCGTTAAGGATCTCCGCTTATAGGAAACTTGTTTTGCTCAGCACCGGGGGGCCGGTAGAATATACGATAATGGGGTACCCACATTTTTCTGCCGCGTACCCCCCTTTTTTGTGTCCTGCGGGCCTGCGGGCCGCTCTTTGCACGAACCATGCGCCACAGTTAGGGGTGTCAAAGCGGAAAGTTTCCTATAGAAAAAAATTTGAAGAAGCGTCCTGGCTTGCTGATGGAAAATCGGCCAACAAATGAAATTGCACGGAACCGTCCGAATCTCCCGAAAAGACCCTCTGACGCACACGCGCGAGGGCGCCGCTCTTGTGTGTGCTCTGACTATTCAACGGGTTCTCTCTTCCGCCTGGCGCTGTCCCGCCACCGCCGACTCCTTCTCTCGCCCAATGGCTTGTTTCTCCTGCTCGGCCTGCTGTTTCTCCTGCTCGGCCTGCTGTTTCTCCTGCTCGGCCTGCTGTTTCTCCTGCTCGGCCTGCTGTCTCCATGCCCGCTCCGACTTGAGCTCCTCGTCTTTCTCGCGCGCAAACTCCAGAGCCATGCTGCAACCAGCTTTGCTCTCTTCCTCACTTTTCCTACTTTCGGCCAGCTCCTCCTTCGTTCTTTCCAGCGATTTCTGCGCGCCGGTGATGTTGCCGCGCTCGATAGCGCGCCGGGTGTTGTCTGCTGCTGGCGCCTCAGCCACAGACATCCCCGTCCTCTCTTCAAACTTCGCTTTGCTTTTCTTTATATTCAGCGCAGCGCGCCTGCCGCCACCGAACGTTGTGGACCTCCGTTTTTTGGGGGGGGCAGGGTCCGCGGTGGGCATCGCAGACCCGCTTGAGGGCCGTTTTCGGACATGCAGATCTCGGGGTTGGCTGACGCGATTCGGGCGCGGTCTGTTGTGCTGTATAGGTGTAAACCCGAGGTAGAGGACTGCAAACACTCTTTCACGAGAGGAGCAAATNAGCCACAGACATCCCCGTCCTCTCTTCAAACTTCGCTTTGCTTTTCTTTATATTCAGCGCAGCGCGCCTGCCGCCACCGAACGTTGTGGACCTCCGTTTTTTGGGGGGGGCAGGGTCCGCGGTGGGCATCGCAGACCCGCTTGAGGGCCGTTTTCGGACATGCAGATCTCGGGGTTGGCTGACGCGATTCGGGCGCGGTCTGTTGTGCTGTATAGGTGTAAACCCGAGGTAGAGGACTGCAAACACTCTTTCACGAGAGGAGCAAATGTCGCCTTGGGCGTGGAGCAAAGAGCCCAAAAAAACATGTTTTTTGGTGTTCTTCGTTCGCCCTTTCACTTTAAGAGAAAACCGAGTTTGCAGTCACCTCTATTGGACCTGTGTCCAGGTGTGTGTAACGCATGAAGAGCCATGCTGCTATCTGGACGCAGAGCTGCCTGCACAAACAAATTGACTTGATGTATAGTGTATTCAGTATTAAGAGCGGGATTCTCATGAACCGAAAAAAGAACCAAATCCGCGTGCCCCCCTCAAATTTTGACGAATGGACGTTTTTTTGGCGAAAAAATCTATTTACGTCACCGGTGGCGTTATTTCTTACTTATATATGTCACCGCCGGTATCTCAGCCCACAGAGCTTCAATTCGCACAAAATATATTGCGTTGTGTAGCTATGAACCCACACCAATCATACAAGCCNAGAGTTCTCATCGACACCAACTATGTAACTCGCGTCGTGTTTCCACGATTCACAGCCATCACTTAAGCTATTGGTGTCGATCGGAGCTCTCTGCGCGAAGTTACAGTCGGATTTTTTGTGGTAGATACAGTATCATACTGTTGAGCCCCCTTTTGAGCAAATCTCCGCAACCACTTATCGGATTTGACCGTCGAAAGGCTTGTATGATTAGTGTGGGTCATAGCTACACAACGCAATTTATTTTGTGCCAATTGAAGCTCTGTGGGCTGAGATACGGGCGGTGACGTATATAAGAAATAACGCCACCGGTGACGTAAATAGAATCCTCCTTTTTTGGCCCCAAATTCCGCCGCTTTGACACCACTACCAGTGAGTGCAGAAGTAGCGACGCACAGACAGCATAAGTAGCGAGCGGTCTGCTGCTGCAGCTGCAACTGGGTGTTGGTATGGATCGATTCCTCCCATCTACCGGCGGTCCATCTGATGCCGCCAAAAAAAGAGTCCTGCATAACCTCGTCCCTCACCGAGGGCGAGGTCACCTCTCGCTTGGAGGACTCACAATCCCACAGATAGCGCCCGCGGTAGGGCAGCGGTATTTCGAAGTTTTTAAAGTTTTTTCGAAAAGGATGCGGATATCTTTTTGTTTTTTGTGGGTGTGGTATCTCGTGTCACCTACGGTGGTGCTTGCCTGTGGGCTGGAGACCGCTAATCGTCCGCCTCCGGCTCTTGATGCTCCTGTCAACCATGTCTCGGACCGCTCCAGTCGGCACTTCGCGGCGACCGCCCCCGCCGATGTGCGTGTAAAGGTTGTGCAACGCCCTTCCACTCAGTCTCGATGATAGCATGTGTGTGCGTGAACCAGGTGATGTTTGTGTGTACAGAACGGAGAAGGGCGAGGGGACAAAGCCTGGGCAACCTCCCACACCAGGGCCGGTGCCCAGCCTGGGCACTGGCCCTGGGGTGGGAGGTTGGACTGTTGGGGGGGGGATCGTTGCCGGTTCGCGGATGTGGAACCAGAACGCCAAAAACACGAACCGTTTTCATTCCCATTTTCCCCACGTCCTCCTGCTAGTACTTCGTGCCAACAGCACCGTCACTCCCGCTCTTCCCACGCGCCACGTAAAACAGCACCGCCACTCCCACTCTCAGTAGGAGACAATCACGATCGGATTCAAGGTGAGAGAGGTAGAGGAACACCTGGGGGAGAATACCACCATGGAGACCTGCCAAGGTGTGTCGTGCCCTGTGTGCACGAACGAAGGCCAAAGTGAATCTGCCTACTCCACCAGAGACTTCGGAGACTGCTTGGTTGGCGCCAACACACTCTTGCAAATCCACACTTACATGACTTTGCCGACCTCTTCAATTAGCCAAAGCCGTCCGTAAAAAACAATGCCGAGAACTGCTGGTGTACCTACATGATGCAGTCTTCCTCCAAATTTCCCCCTCCCCGAAGAACCGTTCCAGGCACGTTACTTGTTCTGCAGAAAACGGTCTCGAACCGTTGTGCAGTTTACTGACGAACGTTATGTAGTCTGTGTTCTGTGTTCTGGACGCTTTTCTAGTGAACCAGTCTCGAGTGTGTACTTGAAGTTGATATTCAACCTACGGGAACCAAAATACACCGCACATCTACTTACGACTGTGCTTCAACATACTGACATCGGTTTTAGTAGGTGTCCCGAATCCCGATATTGCATGCACATGCCCGGAAATCATAATTATTTTTCTTGCAGTTTGTGTAGCCGAATTGAATTTGGCTCTGATTTTCTGATACGATATTTGGAAGTGATGGCACACACGTGGAAATCATAATTGTTTCTCTTGCAGCTTGTCTAGCCGAATTAAATTTGGCTCTGGTTTTCTGATACGATGGTTGGAAGTGATGGCACACACGCCGACAGCAAGCGCGTGTTCTGGGGAAAACTTGACAGTCTCGTGCGGAGGATCCCTTCCAAAGAATGTGTGTATGTCCTACTGGACGCCAACGCGCGGACGGGAGATAGGTTGGACGGAGGGGACGGAAGGGTAATAGGAATGTACGGGCGTGATGAGCTCAACGACAATGGCATGCTACTGTTGAACTTCGCAACGGAAAACAGGCTAGCTCTCACGAACACGTTCTTTGAGACACGCAAGGGCGGAATATGGCACACATACAACGGTGTGTCGGGAAACGATTGCAAGCGCCTTGACTACATCCTGACAAGGCCGGCACATCACGGCCGAGTATCTAACGTGGTCGTCATCCCCCAGCCGGTTCACCCGGTCAAAGCAGACTCAGACCACAATATGGTAGTAGCCACGGTCAACCTCGGTGGCAGGCTTGCCCACACCCGTGCAGTCCGGACTAAACCGAAATAGAAGCAATTCAACCGACGGGAATTGCAGTTCGAAGCAGCACGGTGTGCGGTGACTAATCGGTTCCTCCTCAACCTCGACACACGACTGGACGAGCGAACAACCACCGC